CCCCAAAACCCCAAAACCCCAAAACCCCAAAACCCCATTCCTTCGAATTCTAGTTGAAAATTCATTAAATTCAGATATTTCAGGTAACAATATGGAAAATTCGGGAAATGTTAGGAAATTGGTGACTAGAGAGGCGTGCGAGTGGGGTAGACTCACCCTTTGTCAAGGCCTCTTTGGAGTAGCAATGCTAAGATATTTTAAGGAAGTAAGAATTATAATGGAACTGTGAGAATAACTTTTTATGATATTATGCCTGATTAGGATTAATAATATCAGCTAGTTTGGGTTTATTGTTTTGGACTTCTTGGGGGCATTTCAGCATGTTTTATTGTGCTTTTGTGGGGGAATGTGATAACAAGGAAATTAGAAAAATTTGTGTCCCATGAACCCTCTTGGGCTAGGAATCATTGACAAAAATCATGAGCTCTCTATTTTTAACATTTCAGTATCCTCTCTGTCAAAATTCAACTTCAAATGAATAATTATAGCTATATAAGAATCTGCCCATCCAAGGTTAATTCAATGTAAAATCCTGGATGACATAAATTCGATTGCATTTAAAATTTCTCTTGCTGGGATATATACCAAAAACTTTAAGAAATAATTGGGCTTAAAGCCTTTGCTGCCAACTAAACGGTGGCGAATAGAAAAATAGTTAAAATCTGCCTCAAAGCTCTAAAGTTTTAATAATAATCTGTGTTAATAATAAAAAGTAGTTGCTAAAATTAAGTTAGGATAAGAAGTATCCCTTAACTGTGGAAATTGAATGTGCTTCCTTAACTTCTCGCAGACATATGCAGGAGAGACGTGAAGCTCCTTGTTAAATTTCTCTAATTTTTAACCCGTTAAAGTAGTATTAATTAATTCTAATTTTGTGTTTGAAGAGAACAATTAATAGATAATAATGCTTAGTTGACTGTTGCTGATAACCGAGGTTTTGAATTTGGCAATTTTAAGACTAGGAGGCAGCAAGGTGATATTTTCTTCATTATTTCTTTCTCCCTTGGCTCGAAGGAAGGAGATTTTTTGTTAAAATAGTAGTCATTAAAAATAACTTTGGTTCTAATTAGTATACCTCAGGAGATTTGATGAGTTTGGAGCACTAAAATTTAAAATAAACACCTTTGAGTACTATTAGGACTACATTATAATTTATAGCAAACACCGAATGCCTCATGAGGAAATATTAGAAGTTTGCCATGAGGTTAGAAATTTTCATTCCCATAATGATATCGAATGAAATGTATTATTCAGAGTTCCTCCTTAGAGTCTTAGGTTTTTAAAAAATTTACTAGCAAACATAATGTAATTAAGAACTTGCTCAAGAATTGCCAGGATTTTTCAAGCATTTAAAAAATTTCTTCCTCACCTAATCCCCAATACTATGAATTCATAGAAAAATTGCGGAAAAAATAGTAAAAAGCTTAAACTCTTAACAAAGATCCTTCAATCCCATTCAGACTTCACATAACTGAGCTTGACAGGGAACGGCGACTGAAGCATAGGATAAATCAGATATCCCAAAGTTGTAAATTTAGAATAATTTTTATAAATTTTTCATGCTGAAGAACCTATAATGACATTCCCAAACCTTGAAATTAAGCAGAAGCAGAGGGTTTAAAACACAGATAAAAGTTTAAGAAATATTTAGGAAGCATCTGAAGAAAGGGGTTAATATTTAAGCCACTTGGATATTGAAGTTATTAAGTGAAGAAAGTATATCTTTTTTGCAATTTTAGTATAAGTAAGAGAGATTATGAATTTTTGACTGATTATTGGCAATTTTCAGCCATTTCTCGTACCATCTGGACTCCAATCATTATGTCTTTGCTGCAAGCTGAGATATCTGCTTCATAGGCAAAGTGGAGTACCAGTCAACTGAAGAACTTGCATTGTATGCAAAGTCTGAGTTTGGTCCTGTTGAAGCTATACACCATGTCTTTGAACTTATTGGAGCTGGTAGAGCCAAAGAATAAGAACTTGTCGAGAGTCTCCACAAAAGATTCTGAGGGCTCGAGGCAGAACTCAGCTTCAATATACCTCACCACAAACTTCTTTCTTTGCAATTCGGAATAATTTTTGGTAATGGAGATAGAGAAACACTTTTTAAGGTCATCTAAATAAAAACTTCTTATTTTTCGGATTACAGACTTCAACACAATGTCAGTTCTCCTCTTCAGACCATTGTTAGATGGTTTTCTACCTTTCTTCTTTGCTGTGCGACTCTGATCGCCTTCAGAGCGATTGAAAGATTTCTCTAGTGAAACAATCTTGGGAACTTCATTTTGGGCAACTGATTCTTCATGTGCGAATATCTCTGGCGGACTCATTGGGCTGAACCCATTGAATTTATGTTGAACAGGTCCAAACAAGTCATTGGGTGCTCTACTTCTACAGAACTGACCCCAGGTGAACTTTGAACTGTTGTCTTCATGTGACAAAGACTGGTTAATTTGGTTAAGTTCGAACATGTTATTGTATTAAGGAATGGGAGAATATTATTAATTATTATGCTCAATCTGCCTTATCTTATATGGGGTTTTGGGGTTTTGGGGTTTTGGGG